AACACTTGGGAGGCAGAGGCAGGCAGATCTCTGTGAGTTCAAGGCCAGCCAGGTCTACGTAGTGAGCTCCGGGTCAGCTGGGGCTACAGGGAGACCCTGTCTTAAAAAGACTAAATAAAGCCGGGCGTGGTGGCTCATGCCTTCATTCCCAGCACTTGGGAGGCAGAGGCAGGCAGATCTCTGTGAGTTCAAGGCCAGCCTGGTCTACACAGTGAGTTCTAGGTCAGCTGGGGCTACAAGGAGACCCTGTCTCAAAACAAAAAACAAACAAAAAAGACTAAATAAATAAATGCTCCAGTTCAAATGAGCAAATATGCAGACAGATACCTATGGTGCGTAAGCCTAGGCTATGGCAAACACATGCACTAAGACACATACTGTCTTCTAGGACTTCATAGGTCAGGAAGGAGACGCGTACACAGTCCACAGTCTACAGAAGCACTGAAACAGACATCAGCAACATGCTGAGACATGAGCTTCAGGGAAAACAGACATAGCCCCTGAAGCCAAGAAGACATACATTCCAATCCTAGGCCTGTTACCCTCTGGTTGTGAGACCACTGGCAAGTTACTTAACCTCACTAGCCTTAGTTTCCACATGTAAAATGGATGGGATTGTTGTGGAGATCGGAGATGTTAGGTGTAGCACATCCAGCTCAATACATGGTATTCAGTAAGCTCCACACAACAGTGGTCAACATTACTTCTTTTTTCCTTTTTTTTTGTCTTTTTGAGACAGGGTCTCCCTGTAGTCCCAGCTGGCCTGGAACTTGCTATATAGACCAGGCTGGCCTCAAACTCACAAAGATCTGCCTGCCTCTGCCTCCCAAGTGCTGGGGTTAAAGACATGCACCACCACACCCGGCAATATTACTTCTAAAGGAAGCAGTTTTTGAATTGGACATTTCAGAGCTGATAAATTTCTAAGGCCAACACCAGGGATAAATCAAACAGTCTGAGCAAAAGTTTACTGTGGAGAATGACTACAGATGTGCTTGTGGGTAGGCAGTGACCAACAGGACAAAAAAACCAGACTGGCTGCTGGGCGTGGTGGCGCACGCCTTTAATCCCAGCACTTAGAAGGCAGAGGCAGGCGGATCTTTGTGAGTTCCAGGCCAGCCTGGTCTACATAGTGAGTTCCAGGACAGCTGGGGCTACAGGGGACTTTGGGCTGGAGTATCTCAAAAAGACAAAAACAAAACAAAACAAACAAACAAAGAAACCAGACTGGCCTTCAGCTCAGAGAGCCTGAACTAGTGAGGAAGTCACCTCCCCTGGGCAACACCCAGACAAATGCTTCCAACCCAGAGCTTTCCACAGAGAGTAGTTAGATCTGTTCTTAAGGTTAGCCATGCTTCTGGAACCAGGAAAATATGGTCAAGGCATGCCAAGGTTTTGACTCTGGAGCTAGAAACTGATGTATTCAACTCAAGTGGAGTACCGGTAGTAAGGCAGAGACTGGGCAGCGCCCAGCTCCCACTGAAGAGCCCAGACTCATGCTCCGTGACTCCAGCAGAGCACAGAATCTCTGGCTGTAGTCTTGAGGCCACAGCAGAAGCAGGAGGTCTGAGTCCATTCCCTACTCCACTCATTTGTCATTCTCCCACATTGGATAATCAATATCCAGTTAGCAAGACTGTGCAAGCCCCAATCAGATAAACAGCCTGATCAATAATTGCCAAAAACAGAAATTCTTAAGTGAACCTACAGATTTTTTCTTTTTGGTCTTTTTGAGACAGGGTCTCCCTGCAGCCCCAACTGGCCTGGAACTCACTATGTAGACCAGGCTGGCCTTGAACTCACAGAGATCTGCCTGCCTCTGCCTCCCAAGTGCTGGCCTGGGACTACAGGCATGCACCACCACGCCCAGCTGAACCTACAGATTTTTCAAACCTCTCCACTTGGGAAACTCCCTCTCCCCAACTTCCTTCCCTCCCTACTTCCCTCTCTCCTCTAGCTCCATACCCTTCTGGCTGCTGGATGGATCCTCAGTAGCCTGGTACCATGCAAAGCTCTAGAGGCCAGAGACCCTAGAATACAACTAACCTTTCAACTTTTAGACATTCATGGATCTATTTAAAATATCAGCTTTAAGCTGGGTATGGCCTTTAATCCCAGCATTTGAGACACAGAGGCATGTGTATCTCTGTGAGTTTGAGGCCAGCCGGGGCTAAAAAGCAAATTCCTGGCCAGCCAGGGCTACACAGTGGGACCCTGTCTAAAAAAAGGAAAAATGTCAGTTTTAGCCACAACCTCATGTGATCCTTGAGTTTCCTATACAAACCACTGGACTTTCTGAGTGTCTCTACAGGATCCATTGGCTGACCTGTGGTATCTTGTTTAGTATTAGAATGAGCCCATATACTGTTCAGCAAAGTAGATATGTATGAGCCAAATTTTCTGAATCATGTACCCATCTACTTAAAATCTGCAAATGATGGGCTGGAGAGATGCCTCAGGGGTTAAGAGCACTGGCTGCTCTTGCAGAGGACCTAGGTTCGATTCCCAGCACCCACATGGCAGCTAACAACCATCTATAACTCCAGTTCCAGGAGATCTGATTCCCTCCTCTGACTTCCATGGGCAGTGCATGACATGGGTGCACTTACATGCATGCAGGCAATACATTCATACACATAAAATAAAAATATTTTTTAAATTTTTTTAAAAAATCTGCAAAAAAAAAAAAAAATGGGGGCTGGAGAGTTGGCTCAGCGGTTAAGAACAGACCGTTCTTGCAGAAGACCCGGGTTCGAATCCCAGCACCCACATGTCAGCTAACAACTGTCCGTACAACTCCAGTTCCAGGGGATCCGACAGCCTCTTCTGTCCTCCGCGGGCACTGAAAGACACGGATGCACTTACATACATGCAGGCAATACATACATACACATAAAATAAAAATAATAAAATTTTTTTTAACCCATTGCCACCTTTGAAATGCATGACCTAGGAATTTCCCTAAAGAAGGCCAGCCCCTGCTCCTGAGAAAAGGACATCCTTGACTAACCCCACAACTTCATCTGAAAGCTGACAGGGAGGTCAATACAGCAAAGGACCTAAAGCCCTGAAGCAAAGTGGCATGAGGCTGGTAGGTGACTCTTAACAAGAAACACTGTTCTGAGCAAATCGTGGGGATGAAAGATGGCCTGGCCCACATCCCTGGGAGGAAAGCTAGGTCAAAGAGAGCTGCTCCCAGGGCTCCTCCCCTTCTGTGTAGGTTGCAAAAAAGACAGAGATGGTAGCTAAATGTGGTGATACATGCCTGTAATCCTAGAATTTGGGAGGCAGAGGCAGGAGGATTAGGAATTCAAGGGCATCCTTGGCAACTAGAGTTTGAGGCCAGCCTGTGCTACATGAGAGCCTATCTCAAAAAAACAAGGTACAAGGGTGAAATGCTTCTACAGGAAAAGGTACTTGCTATGGAAGCCTGATGACCTGAGTTCAATTCCTGGAACTCATATAAAGATGGAAGAGAACTACTCCACAAAGTTGTCCTCTGATCTTCTGACACACATACACACTAATAAAATTTTAAAAATACTAAAACAAGCCGGGCGTGGTGTTGCATGCCTTTAATCCCAGCACTCGGGAGACAGGCAGATCTCTATGACTTTAGGGCCAGCCTGGTCTACATAGCAAGTTCCAGGTCAGCTGAGGCTAAAAGGAAGACCCTGTCTCAAAAAGGCCAAAAATAAAATAAAATACTAAAGCAACAAAAAAGCAAAAATCAAACAAACAAACAAAAAAACCCAACAACAATAAAAGGCAAAGACAGCAACAGTACCTTGGTAGGCCCAGTACTGAGGGGAGTACTGCGTACAGACTCTGGGGGAGAGATCCTTACTGCCTTGGCTGAGTCCTGCAGTCTGCAGAACTCAGCTCATGTTCCTCACAAAGCCACTGTCCAGTCTTCCCAAGCACACCATTACACTCCAGCTTGCAACTTACTCTTTCCTGCAGTCAGCCTTTCTCCTACTCAGTCAGCATCCTTCCAAAGATGAAACTAGCAATGACTCTTTTTGCACCTTCCTTTAGCAACCAGCAGTGCTAAAATCTGACACATCTTTTGCAGATAGCAGAACTGTCTATGGATTTAGAGACACAAACTGGTGGCTTGCTGTTCAAATCTGGCACACAGGACAGCATTTGTTGGCATATAACTTATCATTTAAATACGTGAATTAAAATTGGAGATGGTGGTACATGCCTATAATCCCAGCACTTAGGAGGTAGACAGAAGGATCAGGAGTTCAAGACCAGCCTTGGCTATATACCAAGTCTGAGGCTAGTCTGGGCTATATGATAAACTGTCTATGTGGTATGGGTGTATGGATGCATGTGTGTTCATGTGTGGGTGGGGTAGGTGGGTGCACATGCATATGTGTGTGGAGGCCAGAGGGTATTTTCCTCCATCACTCTCCACTTTCTTATATTTCAGACAGGATCGCTCCCTGAACCTGGATTTCATCTATTCAGCTGTACTAACTGGCCAACAAACCTCAGAGATCCTCCCATCACTGCTTTCTCAGTGCTGGGATTACAAACACATGCCACCATACCCAGGGTCTCTCTGTAGCCCCAGTTGGCCTGGAACTCACAATGTAGATCAGGTTGGCCTTGAACTCAGAGAGCCACCTGCCTCTGCCTAGTGCTGGGACTAAAGGCATATGCCATCATGCCCAGCTCCCAGTCCATTTCTTAATGTCCTTGTTTATTAGCTTTCTTTCTTTGCTGCCTCACTTTCTTTATTCCTTTACTTATGGCTATTGGAATCACCTCCCACATAAGTTATCTGCTCTGAGGCCTCATCTCAGGGCTCACTTTTAGAGGAACCCAAACTAAGATATTCTGCTTAATCCCTGTCATTTTGACGTTGCCTGCCTGGCCCTCAAAAGCATAGTACTCAGAGTAGGTTCTTCTGACCAAGAACTGCAGGTTATACCTTCCCACCCAGGAGCATCCCCAACATCTCCGGAAAAGGGAGAACAGAGACTCACCTCCCCCAAGTAACTATATTTGCCCCTGAGGATCTGCCGGTACAGCCGAGTACGGTTGTCATCTTCAAAGGGCATGGTGCCACTCAGTAGGATGTAGGCGATGACACCCAGCGCCCACATATCCACAGAATTGGTATAGGGCTTGCGAACCAGGACCTCAGGAGCAATGTACTCCGGTGTGCCACAGGTGGTCTTCATCAGGCAGTCATCACCTTTCTTGCGGGCACTAGCCAGGCCAAAATCAGTGATGATGATCTTGGAGTCAGTGCCTGGGTGGTAGTAGAGGAGATTCTCAGGCTTGAGGTCTCGATGTGTGATGCCCAGGGCATGTAGATACCGAACACCATCCAGTACCATCTGCAGCACCCTTGTGGCATCCCGCTCAGTAAAAGAACCCTTGGCTATGATACGGTCAAAGAGCTCACCACCAGTGGCAAGCTCCATCACCATGTACACACGCTCCTGTGTCTCAAACACTTCCACCAGCTGGATAATGTTGGCATGCCGTACCCTGCGCAGTACACGGAGCTCAGACTCACACACCTCCCGCCCCTCTCTGTACTTGGTCTCAATCATCTTGATGGCATATGGCTGTCGGGTTGCCCGGTGCTCCACACGTACTACTCGGCTAAAGCTGCCTCGGCCAATCAGGGCCTTGATGTCATACTTAGCAGTCACTCGTGGATCAAACTTGGCCCTGTACTTTGCCACTCTGGCCCTGCGTGGTGGTTCTGAGGGGAGCTCTGTGTGGCCAGTAGTGGGGACACCAGGACAAGAAGGTGCATGTTGACTGGTAGCTGGGAACCCAGCTTTGAGGGGGCCAATACTGTCTACCTCTGTAATGAAATGTTTGTATACATCATTCTTAGTGCCACTGAAGGGTTCCACCTTCTTGACCAGATCCAGCTGGACATCTTTGGGTGGCTCAGGAAGGACCTTGCTTGTCCCACAGCCCATCACGGACTTGGGGGCATCCTCCCCAGCAAGGCTGGCAGGACCTGCTCTGTAGGCAGTGCCCCGTCTACACCTATATAAACAGAAGAGAGGGCAAGTTAGTATGGCCAGGGACACCTCTGAAGAGACAACAGCCAAACTCCCTGTCCCTTTCTCTTTGATACGCTAGTCTAATACTGAAGTTAGACATGCCATTACACAACTGTATTTCCAGCACTCTGAAGGCAGAGGCAGGAGGATCATGCAAGTTTGAGGCTAGCCTGGTACCTACACTGCAAAAAACAAAAAACCAAACCAAAACAAAAAAGAAAACCAGCTCGGACTAAAGGCTCAATGGAGGTTGTAGATGAAAAAAAAAAGCAGGTCTGACCTCCATGGTCTTAACTTACATTTCCATGGATCTGTTTCATGCTGTTTGTTCTTCAAGCCTGACAGAAGGCAGGAACAAGCACTATGCTCAGCTTTCAGGGACCTCATCTTTTTCTCCCCTTTGCCTGAGCCCTTCTCCTAGTTAAGTCTATTTTTCTTTTTTCAGTCTTTTTGAGACAGGGTCTCCCTGTAACCCCAGCTGGCCTGAACTATGTAGACCAGGCTGGCCTCAAACTCAGAGATCTTGGGAATGGGCAGTATGGTGGTATAAAACTGGGCATGAAGGTTGGGAAGGTCAGCAGGAACCAGGTCATAATGAGGACCAGGCCTTCCTGTGAGGTGATGGAGAGCTACCACAGGGTTCATGAAGAGTTGTTTAGAAAGGGGTGTAAGGCTGGACTAATGAACAGTCAGAGTAGACTAAACAAGGGTCAAAGTGGACTAAATAGGCTAATGAGACCAGAGCATGGTGTCCCAGACAATGGGATAGAATCAAAGATATAAGTAGCAAATGCTACAAGGACTAGAAATTAGAAATAAGGGTTGGAGGGAAGAGTGAAGGCAGCACTCCAATTCCTGACTCAGCTCCTGGGTGAAAGATCAAGACTGCAGCAGGAGAGTGAGTTTGGGAAAGTGTGACAAGTTCACTTTTAGATATGCTGCAATGTACATGGAATGTCCATGTGATATCTGATCCAACTGATTGACAGCAGGAGTACCAGACAGGTTTTACTGTGGCACTCTGGGAGGTCACAGAGAGCTCACAGAGGCCTTCAGATTAGGGTGAGTCAAGGCTTCAATTCAAGGTGGGGAGTCTAGTCTTGACCAATGAGCAGGTTTACCACTAAAACATATCCAAGACATTAGTTTTTTATTATTATTTTTACTTTTATTTGGTGTGTGTATATGAATGTTATACATCCATGTAGTGCAGTGCCTGCAGAGGACTGAAGGCATCAGACTCCCGAGAACTGGAGTTTCAAACTGCTGAGTCACCTTGTCAGTAGGTTTTTTTTGTTTGTTTGTTTGTTTGTTTGTTTTTTTAAGACAGGGTTGCCTGGAACTTGCTATGTAGACCAGGCTAGCTTCAAACTCACAGAGATCTGCTTGCTTCTGACTTGAAAGTGCTGAGATTAAAGGTATGCACTAGCACATCTAGATGAGAGACTAGGGATGGGCTACAGCTTAGAGGTAGAGCACTTGCCTAGCATGCTAGACAATGGGTTTGCCATCTCCAGGAATGTAAAAAACAAAAGGATGGGGAGATGGTTCAGTTGGTAAAGTGTTTGTTCTGCAATCATGAGAACCTGAGTTCAATCCCCAGAACCCAAAATCAAAAAAAAAAAAAAAAAAATAAAAAAAAAAAAAAAAAAAAAACTACAGGACTTTAAGACATAGATTAACCCCAACTCATTAATAGTGGGGTATGTCAATACCCCCTATCTCCATTAGATAGATCAACTGGACAAAGATTAAACAGAGACACATCTGAATTAAATTTCATCATATATCAAATGGGCTGAGCAGATATCTTCAGAATATTCTACCCATAATCCCGGTGCTAGAGTGGTAGAGACAGGAAAATCCCTGGGTCTTGTTCACCAACTAGTTTAGTCAAAATATTGAGCTCCAGTTTCAGCAAGAAACCTTACCTCAAAAAGATAAGGTAAAAAAAAAAAAAAAATTCAAGCCTGATGACCTGAGTTCCATCCTTGGAACCCACATGGTCACATAGCTGGAAGGAAAGAACTGACTCTCACAAGTTGTCCTCTGACCTCCACAAATGTGTCCTTCTCCATAGACAAAATAATTTTTTTTTTTTTTTGGTCTTTTTGAGACAGGGTCTCCTTGTAGCCCCAGCTGGCCTGAACTCATTATGTAGACCAGGCTGGGCTTGAACTCACAGAGATCCACCTGCCTCTGCCTCCTGAGTGCTGGGATTAAAAGCGTGCGCCACTATGCCCAGCAATAATATATTTTTTTTAAAGGTAGAGTTGGGGCTGGAGAGATGGCTCAGTGGTTAAGAACACTGGCTGTTCTTGCAGAAGACCCGGGTTTGAATCCCAGCACCCATATGGCAGCTAACAACTGTCCATAACTCCAGTTCCAGGGGATCCGACAGCCTCTTCTGTTCCTCCTCGGGCATTGTAAGACATGGATGCTCTTACCTACATGCAGGTAATACGCAAAATACACATAAAATAATAAATAAAATATTTTTTAAAAAAGAGGGCAATTAGGACAACCCATATTGACTTCTCACCTCCACACACACATGCATATAGGTGCACTTGTACCTGCACATACACAAAACATAAAACCAAAACAAAGCAAATCCATTAGATAAAGAGGAAGAATTTGGTGAGCACGGACTAAGAGTTCAAATTTTAATCAGTAGGTTAATATGGTTCTCAGCAGAATAAAGTTAATCTTTCCTTACAAGAAAGTATCAATTCATTCATCAACACAGGCTACCAAAATGGCCAGGAGGATCCACATGGACTCACACTTAGTCCTTACAATTTAAATTTTTTATTAGATAGATGAGAGAGAGAGAGAGAGAGAGAGAGAGAGAGAGAGAGAGACAGAGACAGAGACAGAGACAGAGAGACAGACAGACAGGAGTTTTCTCCTTCCAACATGTGAGTCCCAGGAATGCAGGACACTAGCCTAGTCCTCACTATTTAGGATATCATGTTTAAACATTAGAAAGTAGATTCCTTCTTATAAAGGCCAAAGCTTAGAATTGTGGACCTTGAATTTTGCAGACTCATCTCTTACTTAAAGGAAACACAAGAAAAATATTGAAACCCAAGAAAGACAGCTCTTACCAGGTATGGGTTGTGCACACCTTTAATCCCAGCACTTGGGAGGCAGAGGGATCTCTGTGAGTTCAAGGCCAGCCTGGTCTACATAGTGAGTTCCAGGCCAGCAAGGAAAAAAAAGCTAGCTAGCTCTTGGGCCAGTATTCCTGAGGCTGAACACAGGCCTCGGGCTCCTCATCCCCATGACCACCCAGTAAGCAACATGTACCACCAATGAGAGGGAAGACAAACAGCCACTTGGAAGCCACATCTTGGTGATGAAGCATAACTTTAGATGCACAAATAGCTGTCTCTAGCCACACACACAGGGCTCTTCTTAAATGTGCATACCTAGTCTGGTCTTGATTAGAATAATTAAGCTTTATAAAGGAAAAGCCCTGACTCTACACTTTAAATAAAGCCTGAACAAGTCTAAAATCAGCAGTAAAGAGCATTTATTCCATTAGAAACATTTATTTCAATTAGAAACACTTCAAAGGTAGGATGCTAACAGTACTCTAACCATCCCAAATACAGATTGAAAGTGGCAGAGAAAAGGTGCTGGCTCTGAAAGCTAGGGGACATGAGTAACACCCTCCAGGTGGTCACAGCTGCTCCACACTCCAGTCACCTGCATTAACCTCTCTTCCCACATTGGCAAAATGAAAATACAGACAGAAGACAGTCATGGTGGGTTCTCAGGGAGAACCTTTTCCTCCCAGCTTTCTGTGTATGCACCCAGTAGAGTAGCCAGCGTGGGTACTGGAGTAAACAGTGGGTGAGAAAGTCTCCGCAGAGACCTTCCAGGAGGGTCATGCTACACCAGCTATGCCAGATCACCAACCTAACATGGAAAATAGCCAAAAGTCCACTCTACATCTTCAGCCTAATACAAAGCACTCCTCTGAGAAGTTTAAGCATGCTGGACAGTGACAGAGGGAGTAAACACTCAGCACTCCCTATGACAGGCCATGAGAGATAGGGAAACTTGTCCAAAGCCACTGAGACAGGGTAGCCAAGCATGGACCTATGTCTTCTAGTTCTCCATCCACAGAAATACTTCAGAAGTATCTAGGGCCCAACAGAACTTGGCCTCCCTAGGTCAAGGCCTCAATTCTTTCCTCATATCACTGAGGTGGTAAATCAACATACCTCTGTGGGGTACCTCTTCTCGAGAGTCTGTCTTCAGAAACCTGAGTTCCAACTCTCAGCTGTCATGCTGCTCACAGTTTTTTTTTTTCCTTTCATTCTTTTTTTTTTTAGACAAGATCTTACTATGTACCTCTAGTTGGCCTGGAACTCACTATGTAGACCAGCTGGCCTCTAACTTGCAGTAATCCTCCTGCCTAAGCTCCGAGTGCTGGGATTCCAAGGGTATGTCACCAGCCTAGCTCCACAGCTCTACTCTAGTTCACCTTTCATCACAACCACTGGCAACCCCCTGCTGAAGGGAATCTCTTTTCAGCTTTCCAGAACTCCTTGGTACCTAGCAAAGTACTGCACACAGATGTATTATTCACTGTCAACAATGAATTAAACATGGTCTGCTCTTGGATTTTGCTGTGAGGCAACAACTGAAAATTCTGAGGTATTTTAAAGGGGCAGGAAGAGGCCAGCCTGGTAGTAAAACAAAGCTATACTCTAGACAACCACATAAACATCCTCAAGAGTAGTATGTTTGGGCTTTGAAGGTTATCTGAACTCCAAAGTCTGCGTACAAGCTTCCTGATCTAACCCCACTTGTGGGGAAGGCCAGAGTAAAGATGCTAGCCAGGGGCTAGGTTTGTGAATGTCTCCCAATGGTAGAAACAGGCACTTGGCCCTCTTCAATACCAGCCACCAAGATTTTTCCCAACAGGAGGCTCCATAACCTTTCCCCTACCAAGATCTCTGTATCAGCTCGGTGTGATGGCACAGGCCATTTGTCTTTTTTTTTGAGACAGGGTTTCAGGCAGCCCAGGCTGGCCTTGAACTTGCTACTGAGGCACCAATGACCTTGAACTCCTGACCCTCGTGCCTCCAGGACCCCAAGTGCTGAGATTGCAGGCCTGCATCACCACATTTAGTCTTTAGTGGTGCTGGGGATCAAAACAAGGCTTCATACATGATAGGCCAACCACTCTACCATTGGAGCTATCTCCAACCCTTCTCCTTTTTATAGATGTTTTTCCTTGTGGTACTAGGGATTAAACACAGGGCTTCACACATTCTAGGCAGGTGTTCTACCTCTAAGCTATATCCCCAGCACCATTTTAATGTTGTTTTAGACTATACAGCACTGGTTGGTCTGGAACAAGCTATATAGAATATGCTGGCCTTGAACATGCAGCAATCCTCCTGCCTCTGTCTCCAGAGTACTGGGATCATAGTCATGCATCACCATGCCCCACTCCAATAACAATTTAAAAAAGTTACACACATATTTACATGTATGGAAAAAAATATGCCAAAAGGGTAGAGAGAAACTGTTAACAGTAATTTCCTCTGGGGGCATGCAAATGTGAGGGGGAGAGAGGGAAGAAGGAAAGGAAAGGAGTGACAAAGGAATGAAGAGAAACTTCTGTGTTCTTGATCTGTCTTAAAACAATCAGGAAATACTACATTTCAAAAGTTATTTTAATATGTATTATAGAAATGTATATACTAGGGCTGGCAAGATGGCTCAGCAGAATAAGGCACTTGTCACCAAACTGGTAACCTCAGTTTGGTTCCCTAACCAACAAGATAGGAGAGAACCAACACCTGTAAGCTCTGACCTCCACCTGTGTACCAGAGTATGAGTACCCATGCACTCACACATGCAATAAAAACATTTTAGCAGGGCGTGGTGGCGCACGCCTTTAATCCCAGCACTTGGGAGGCAGAGGCAGGAGGATCTTTGTGAGTTTAAGGCCAGCCTGGTCTACATAGTGAGTTCTAGGACAGCTGGAGCTACAGGGAGACCCTGTCTCAAAAAGAGCAAGAAAAAAAAAGAGAAAGAAATTCCTTCCATGCCAGGCTTAGTTTTGCATGCCTTTAATCCCAGCACTGGGAAAGCAGAGGCAGGTGGATCTCTGTGAGTTCGAGGCCAACCTGGTCTCCATAGCAAATCCAGGCCAGCTGGGGCTACAGGGAGACCCTGTTTCAAAAAGACCAAAAAAAAAAAAAAAAAAAAGGAAAGAAATTTCCCATGGTAAGGTGGTACACACCTTTAATCCTAGCACTCAGGAGAGACAGAAGCAAGTTGCTCTATATGAGTTGGAGGCCAGCCTGGTCCAGAGGGAGGGAAGGAGGGAAGGGAAAAAAAGAAACTTCCTCTATCAAGACTGGCCTGTGGGCATGCCTTGTAAGGCATTTTCTTTTTTTTTTTTCTGGTCTTTTTGAGAAGGGTCTCACTGTAGCCCCAGCTGGCCTGGAACTCACTATGTAGACCAGGCTGGCCTTGCACTCACAGAGATCTGCCTGCCTCTGCCTCCCAAGTGCTGAGATTAAAGGCATGCACTACCACAGTCAGGCAGGAGGCATTTTCTTGACTGCTAATTGATGTGAGAGGGCCCAGCCCACTGTGTGCAGTGCTACTCCTAGGCAGGTAGGCCTGGACTATATAAAAAAGTTAGGTGAAGCTGGTTGTGGTGACACGGGCCCACTACAGAGGCACAAGCAGGCTTATCTCTGTGAGTTCAAGGCCAGCCTGGTCTACATAGTGAGTTCCAGGACAGGTGGGGCTACAGGGAGACCGTTTCAAAAAAAAAAGAAAAAAAAAGTTAGCTGAAAGCCAGGCATGGTGGCACATACCTTTAATCCCAGCACTTGGGTGGCAGAGGCAGAGGCAGAGGCAGGCAGATCTCTGGGAGTTTGAGGCTAGTCTGGTCTACATAGTGAGTTCCAGGCCAGCTGGGGCTATAGGGAGACCCTGTCTCAAAAAAAAAGAGAAAACGTTCAAAAATGAAACTTTTTCTTTTTTGGAGACAAGGCCTATGTAACTCTGAAACTCACTATGTAGATCAGCTTAGCCTTAAACTGGCAACTCCCCTGCTTCTGTCTCTGGAGTGCAGCAATTTATGGGCATTCACCACACCAGAGTTTTGGGGGTTTTGTTGTTGTTACAGGCTCTCATGTAGCCCAGGCTGGTCCTGAACTATGTAGCCTAGGCTGGCCTTGAACTACTGAGTCTCCCTGCCTCCACCTCATTAAGTGGTGGGATTACAGCACATCTGGGTACAGGTGAAACTCTTAAATCTGTATCTTGAAAAGTAACTCCAAGATTAGACCAAAGTTGAAGAGGTTGGAGCACCTACCACATATAAAGGTGTTTGCTGTGATCATCTCTGATCCAACCTTTGACAAATGCTCCATAATATGGCATAATTTGTATCCATTCATAAATTAATATCGCAACAGCTTAAGGCAACACTACTGCTATGTGAAGGGGAGGTTTTTCCAACGAAACCGTATCTCAGGTAGGTTTTAAAGAACACATTTAATTTTCCCATACTGGTGGGTGGGGGAATGACAGGAAGTTTTTTACAAACTGAGAAAACGACTTACCTAAACTTAGCCTTAGCACAAGGGTATGAAACCACAAAGCTATCAGGACGCTTACCCGCCTCAACTATAAACTACATAAACCCAGCGCAGGCATGCTCACGAGTTGACTGTAGGCCTCATCAGATTGTGAAGAGCTCTGAATGCTGGGCAAGCTAAAAAGAGCCTGGCTTTTGTCCTTCAGTGAGTAAGGAGCCAGTTTTAACTAGTGATTTTCTGGTGGGAATTATCACTACAGCAGCATAGACTGAGTGGGGCTAGGGCTCCCCTTAAAAGGATGACAGGTTTGCAGCGCAAGGGACGCAGCTGCATTCTGGCTGCTTTTCCAGCCAGTACCAGGAAGCGATCAATGGTCCGTGCAGGACCCCGGCGTTCACTCGCAAAGAAGGGTGTGCAGTAGGCTCCGGACACAAGGGAAGAGGGCAACCAGGTCAGCTCAACCTGACTGCGCAGGTCCTGGGGCGGCTGAGTAGCAGGCGGGGCGGCTGAGCAAGTCCACCCGGCCCACAACGGCAACAGGTTTCGAAGACACCGCAGGCCCAGGGCACCACTGCCTTGTTTGCGCCCCAGCCGGTAGGCCCGAGAACAACGGGGCCGCGGGCTCCGCGCTGATAGCGGCAGGCCCCGGTGCCCCGGGAAACCACCACCGCCGAGCTCCTCAGCCCCTCCCGCCCGTCGGGCCGAAGCTCCGAGCCGGGCGGCCTCACCTCGCGCGAGCAGCGGGCTCTTCGGAGTCTCGGCGGCTCAGCCCACCTTCGCCCGGCCGCCGCCGCCATCCTCCGGCGTCAGCGTCGTGGCGTCATTACAGCGCGCCCGGGACGCAAAAACAAACCCGGGCCAGAGGCGGAGCTACGGGATGGGCGGTGCCCCGTGCGGCCTGCCAATCAACGTCTTCGGGGCGGGGAAAGGGTCTGTGCAGCTGCTGGCGGAGGAAGCTGTGCTGGAAAAAGCAGGGAGAAAGTTTCAAGATTCAAGATAAAGGGGCTCTTTCTTGAAGGGGGAGGCTGGAAGCACAGTTGGGTTTTGACAGAGGTTGATGGAACTGCCTCGAGATCTCCGCAAATGACTGAATTAAATTCCACTAATAAAATCTGTTTTATTTTGTTTGAGACAGGATCTGACTCTAGCTCAAGGCTAACCTGGAACACATTATGTAGTCCAGGCTGGCCTCGAACACAGGGCAATCCTCCTGCCTCAGCCTCTCTTTCGAGTGCTGGGATTACAGGCAAGAGTCACCATGCCAAGCTAACAAAATCTATTTTGCCAGTGATTAAAACAATTTTCAGGCAGGCGTGGAGGCTCACGTCTGTAGTCCCAGCACTTGGGAGGCAGAGGCAGGCGGATCTCTGTGAGTTCAAGTTCAACACCCAGATATGGCAGTTAATTTCTGAATTTGGTGGTTAGCTTGGAGCCAATTTCTAGACAGAAACATATTTTTTTAGTTCGTTGTTTTTTAATGTGTCGATGCAAAACATTTAAGTGAATCACAAGACTGCAAAGCAAGCAGATTTTTAAAAAGGATTTATTTCATTTTTCATTATGGGGGATGGTATGTGCAAGTGAGTGTAGGTGCAGGAGGACACCAGAGGTGTCAGACCCCCCCCGGAGCTGGAGTTACAAGCAGTTGTGAGCTGCCTCACCTGGGTGCTGGAAATGGAGCGCAGGTCTTCTGGAAGGCAGTTAAGTATTCTCCAGCCTGCAAGAAGAGTTTTAGCTTTGGGGGCTAGAGAGATGGCTCAGTGTTTGAGAATCCTGGCTACTCTTCCAGAGAATAAGGATAAGTAACACCCACAACTGTCCATAAAACTCCAGTTTGAGGAGATCTGACATCCTCTTCTGGCCTTCATGAGTTTGCACACATATGGTACATATACATACATGCAGGTAAAACATTCATAAACATAAAATAGAACTAGATAAATAAATTTGAAAGATTGTTAGAATTCAGAGTAGCATCTGTAGTATTAAAGTTGTTTCAACTATCAAGTTGCAGGGGAAAAGAAAGATACTACAGGTAAGAAGTCATCCTAACCTTCATCCACTAACTCATTTCAGCTGTTCACTACTTTATCTTTTTATTTTATTTTTTTTAAATTTTATTATTTTTATTTTATGTGTGTGCGTGTATTGCCTGCATGTAGGTAAGTGTACCCATGTTGTTCAATGCCCTTGGAGGTCAGAAGAGATTGTCGGATCCCCTGGACTGGAGTTACAGACAGTTGTTAGCTGCCATGTGGGTGCTAACACACAGGTCTTCTGCAAGAACAACCAGTGTTCTTAACTGCTGAGCCATCTCTCCAGCCCTACTTTCTTTATCTTTACAAAGATCTTTACAAATCTTTATTGAGCCCATTTTGTATATGAAAATATCTTTGACAGTATAAATCCATGTTATGCTTTAACACTAAAAATACTGAAGAAAAAAAATCATTTGACTGTTTTCAATGGTAGGGTTTAATACAAATTTCATTTAAAGAAGAAAAACTAAAAACTGTTTCCAAGCCAAGTGTGGTATTTATTACATGCCTGTAATACCAGAACTCAGCAGGAGTTTGAGTTTGAGGCTAACCTGGGCTACATATTGAGACCCTGTCTTAAAAAATTGCTGATATGATGCCATACACCTGTAACCCCAGCACACAGGAGTGTGAGAGGGGATTGCAATGAGCATTCAAGGCTAGCCTAGACTACACAGTGAGTTCCACATGAGCCTGGGATACAGAATAAGACCTTGTCACAAAACAGCAACAACAAATACTGTTTCCCAGGGGCTGGAGAGATGTCTCAGTAGTTAAGAGCACTGACTGCTCTTATAGAGGACCTGGGTTTGGTTTCCAGCACCGATAGGGAGGCTAACATTCATCTGTAACGCCAGTTCCAAGGGATCCAACACCCTCTTCTGGCCTCCACAGGCATTATGTGATATAAGTGTACTTACATACATGCTGACAAAACACTCATATACATACAAATAAAAATAATGTTTTCCAAAGTACAGTGGAAATATTACGAACATAGATTTTTGGGCCAAACAAACCTAGGACCAAATCTTAGCACTGACATTTCCCCAATGTGTGTGTGTTCTTAGGGACATCTCCTTCATGCCTCTTTTTATTTTATCTTATTTTCCTGTCTTTCTAGTGGTTATAATCTATAATCATCCTAACCTCACAGAAAATTAAAAATAATATAGAATTCCAGGACTGATGATACAACACTTCCACTTGACAGATACTCAGTAAATTAGCAAATATTTATTGAGCCAGGCAGTATTATGGGCTCTAGGGAAGAAGAACACAAGGCCCTGTAGTGAAGAATTATGCTTGTGCAAAGGGGACTGGGCCCAAGACAGCTGAACAATAAACTACCCCTTGACCACAGACCTACAACTGTGAAACATTGTCACCGTGATGCTCTGACCTAGGCAGCTGTGCCCAGGGCCCCAACATCTTAGCTATCATCCCATCCCTCTACTCTAACTCTGGAATAAAACACACAAAGCCTTTAAGCCCCTGGCCAGAGAGCAAATTCTTCCCGGCAACACCAACCCTCCCCACCCCACCCCCACCCCCAGCTCCATCCCAGTCCATAGAAGATTAGGGATTTAGGGAGTGAAAAATCAGGGTAAAAGTAGGTCACTGTAGGAGGCTGGTAATCCACCACAATGACTGGCCAGAGCAGCCAGGCCCCTGCTCTTAGAAGCATGCTACTTCTAGCCATTCACTGGGTCAAGAAGACTTTTAGGGTCTGGAGCCTCAGCCTATCACATCCAGCAGTATGCCTAAGCTGAGGGTGGTGTCCCAAGATGACAAATCCTCTACAATGGGTGCATTCTCAATCCAAGCTCTTGCTAACTATAACAATTCCTATGTTGAACTTAGAGATCTTGCCTTTCACTCCATATACTCTGTATTCTTTAGCCCTAGATTGGGTGATAGAGACACAAATTGTCTCTTAAATGTCCATATTTGGGAATTTTCACCTGGATTTAGACAATTACAAGCCAGTGTTATCAATACTGAGGCAGAAAAAAGCCCAGGTTCTGTGTAGACCTAGAGGTGGGGTTTATTTATTATTATTATTTAGTTTTTTTGAGACAGGGTATCCCTATAGCCCCAGCTGGCCTGGAACTCACTATGTAGACCAGGCTGGCCTTGAACTCATCAGAGATCTGCCTGCCTCTCCCTCCAAAGTGCTGCGTGCCACCATACCAACTGAGGTTGGATTTTTAATATTTTATTTATTATTTTTAATTTTATGTGTATGAGTGTATTGCCTGGATATGAAGAGTACCCATGTCATGTAATACATGGGGAGGTCAGAAGAGGGAATCAGATCTCCTGGAATTGGAGTTATGAATGGTTGTTAGTGGCTATGTAGGTGCTGGGAATCCTCTATGAGATCAGTCAGTAATGCTCTTAACTGCTGAGTCATCTCTCTAGTCCCCTAGAGGTGGTTTTGATTTGGCTTTTATTTAGAGCTAAGAAGTACTTCCTGGAGCTGTGCATGCCTTTAATCCCAGCACTTAGCAGGCAGAGGCAGGCAGATCTCTATGAGATCAAGGCCAACTTGGTCTACACAGCAAGTTCCAGGCTAGCTTGGGTTATAGGGAACTCCTTGTCTCAAAACAAAACAAAACAAAACCAACTTTCCTGGAAGAGGTGATACTGAAAAATAAATAGCAATTTAACAAGAAGAAATAAGGAAGGGTATCCTAACAAAAATATAGATGTACAGGGCTGGCAAGTTGTCCTCTGACTTCCACATGTACTCTGTGATGTGTGTGGGTCCATGGATAGAGATAGAGATAGAGAGAGAGAGAGAGAGAGAGAGAGAGAGAGAGAGGCATATGTGTATTACATAAATGTAATAAAAATGTAAAACTGTAAAAAAATATATAAACACTCCAAAGAATGAAAGTCTCATCACTCCTTTAGGAAATTTCTGGCAGCCAAAGGCAGGCAGATCCAGGAGTGTTTTTCCCCCTGAATTTTGTCCTTTAGGAATATGAGATAAGCAATAACTGGTTGATAGAAGTGGGGATAAAAATCTAGGTCAATGAAACACAGGGACAAAGGTAGAGTCATGGTAGAGAGAAGAGTTGCCAATGGGAGGATCTGAGCCAGCCACAGTGGGAGGATGGTCAGGAAGCTGGGTGAGGTAAAATTCCTACATACCTAGGTGGACGTCTCTGGAGATAACTGTCATCCTGGAGCCTAAGCAGAATTCACCATGCCTGTCCTCTCTCCGGTGTCTGTTTCTCTCTGTCTCTCTCTCTTTCTCCGTGTGTGTGTGTGTGTGTGTGTGTGTGTGTGTATAGTGTGTATGTAAACAGCCTCCCAACCTGGAACTCACTACATAGACCACTACATAGACCAAGCTGGCCTTGAACCTTGAATTCATATAGATCTGCCTGTCTCTGCCTCCCAGTCATAAACCTGGCCTGCCAAGTTCTATTATCTCAGTCCCTTTTTTCCCAGGTAATTAATTACTAATGGTCTCTGTGATAAAAACCCTCTCCATATCAGCTCATCATTCCTGCATTTTTTATAAAGAATTTTGTTTTAAATTTATAACATTTACTCTGTGTGTGTGTGTGTGTGTGTGTGTGCATGCCATAGTGTTTATGTAGAAGTCAGAGGACAACTTGGAGGAATCAGTTCTTTCCTTCACCCATGTGAGTCCTGAGGTTAAAATTTAGGTCCTCAGGTTTGGTGGCAAGTACCTTTACTTGCTGAGCCATCTTGCTGGCCTCTGTACCACTTTGTGTGTGTGTAATGTGTATGTGTGTGTGTTTGTTCATTTGTACACATATGTAGAGGCCAGAGGTCAACCTCAAGTATCCTTCCTAAAGTGCCGTCCACTTTATTTTTTGAGACAGGGTTTCTCATTGGCCTGGACAACTGATTAGGCTAGCCAGCAAACCTCGGATCCACCAAGGCTGGAATTACAAATACATGCCACAACCACCCTAGTTTTTTTTGAGACAGGGTCTCCCTATAGCCCTGGCAGGCCTGGAACTATATAGACCAAGCTGGCCTTGAACCTTGACCTCACATACATCTGCCTGCTTCTGCCTCCCTAGTACTGGGATTAAAGGTGTGTGCCCCCATGCCCGGCTTACCACCCTTGTTTTTTACATGGGTTCTAGGGATCAAACTCAGGTCCTCATACCTGAGGGCCCTGTCTAAAAAAAAAAGATAAAAGAAAACAAACAAACAAAAAACAAGCCAGGTGTGCTGGCTCACAGTAAAGTGGATCTCTGTAAGTTCAAGGCCAGCCTGGTCTACATAGTGAAGTCCAGGCCACCTCAGGCTACAGGGAGACCCTGTCTCAAAAAGAACAAAAGAAAAACCCAAAGGATTCATAGAATGTTAGCTTTCTGCTGTCCATTTGATTACTGCTCTTCCTCCCCCTGGGATAAATAGGGGCTCTGCCTATACCACACATTCTTGTTCTACTGCTTGGAAAGCCTTCTTGGATTGCTTTGATTCCACACTGCAAACCTTTCCTTAAAGAGCTTGTAGAAAGCAGAGGCCAGAGGATCCCTCATTTCTGCAGCATCAGATCCTGTCAGGGTCTTGAATGTGAACTTCGACAGGAACTTCTGGACCCCTTTGGATGGTCTAGACCCTTAGAAGAGACTGAGCACAGAGTCTGAGTATGTACTGAAGGCTAAGGTGATAGTCCAGCAGAGAGAGGAACAGGTGAGACATCAGGAGTCTGGAGAAGGGAAGGAGGGCTGGGGTGAAAGGCACAAACACAAAGGTTTACAGCTGGCTGCTACCTCACCTGGCTAATAGGGGTGAAGAGGAGGAGTGGGCAGGGCTAGGAGTCTGAGACTGAGAACTTCCACCCTCAGAGCACAATTGGCCTCATGCAGAGAAGGGCTGTGCCTTCCAGGAGATCCTGGGTCTCCACCTGAGCTCTTGGGGACCTGCAGTGCTCTGGAGACCTACAGTGTAATGGAAAGCTCAGTGCTGCAGCCACCGGGAAATGAATGTTTGTGAGACAGATGATTGAGTCCCCTGTGGGGGCCCTGAGCCACACCTATCCCCTGCTGGGGCTGTTTCTGGGGGCCCCTGCCATAGCAAAGAGGGCCACCACCAGGAGAAAGGAAGCAGCTTAGTGCAAATATAAATACCTTTAATGAAAACTGTGCTCACTTTGCAGAACCCCCATGACCACCCCCTGCGTGTGTGCAGGGATGGGAAGCACCACACTGCTGACCAGACTGGTTAGGCCAGAGGCCCCAGGAGGCAGGCAACCGCCAGAGCAGCAGAGAGCAGCACAGGGACAGGGGCTGGGGCCAGTGCGGGTGCTCTTGCTCCCAGTGTCTCCTGGTTGGTCTCCTGGCCAGTACCTCGCTCCTGAACACTCACAGGGGCTCCACAAAGAGCATGCAAGTTATCTGGGTGAGGGGCACGGCGAGCTTCTTGCTGCAGTGACTCCCACACGGCAGCAGCCTCCTCTGGGCAACCTGACAGGACCTGAGAAGCGCAGGTGTGGAAGTCATTCCAGGACCTGTTAAAGAAAGAATGGAATTAAGGCAATTAGAGAGGGCAAAGAGGTTTTGGAAAGAAAGAGGTTAAGACCCTAAGGGTGGCACGGATTGGGCGGTGCCTCCCATCTGCCCACTGCCTCCCACTTGCCCGTACCTGCAAACAGTTTCCAGCTCGCCTCCATGGCCCATGCCATCCCCCAAACGGATGAGACACTTGGCAAAGCCTTGGTATATGGTGTCACAGCGGTTTGGACCCCCAGAGGCTACAGCTTGGGGAGGTACAAGGGCTGGGAATGGAGAATGGTGGACAGGATGAGCCAGGGTGCATCCAGCAGGGCCTTGTTTACCTATAAGTGCTCTAGGGACGGTGACTCAGTGTGAAAGGGGTGCCCCAGGGAACTGAGGGGTACCTGCAGATCACTTGTCTTGACTCTTCAAGATAGGATCAAGAGAGGGATGCAAATGGAGGTGCCAGATACTGGGATAAGGAGGGAGAATTATTTCCCAGGGGTCAGCTCCTTCTCTGAGTTTCCTCTGAGGACAGGGGTTTGGGGGTTGGGGTCTTGAGACCTGAGGCCATGGGCAGAAGGGACAGTCTTTCTGCAGCCTCCACATGAGCTTCACCTGGCACTTCCCAGAGACACAAAGTGTCTCTGATGAGGCCAAGTAGGAAGGGCCAGGCTCTCAAAGGTTCTCAGGGATCCATGGCCTGAGTTCTGATAGAGGCCATTGGCTCCCTTTGTCAGAAGAGGGGCTACAGAATTTCCAAGTTCTTCTCCCACAGCTGAACTCTTTGCACCTCACTTTCCATCCTGAAGCCAGTCACACTTTCCTAGAGTGCTCATGGCTGAACTCTACCCTCAGCTCCCACATCCTATACTATCTCGTTGGGATCTCTAAAAATGGTTTCAGCCTGGGCCCAGGATGCTCACACTCACCGAGTGGCAGTAACATCAACAGCCTCAGGGCACAGGGCAGCAGCTGATGGTGGCAGCACCAGTGGCAGTGGCGGCAGCAGAGCATCATCCCTGGCTGTGAGCCTAGTGCCAGAGCTAGCAGCTTGGAGTGCCGCCTGTGGGCCCAGCCCCCAGAGGAAGGGATCGTGATTGGATGGGAGCTGGGGGCGGGACCTTATCCCAGCTGGTGGCTCCACCTTCAGTAGCCAGATTGGCAGAGGGGTAAAGGTGGACCCCAGAGAGTGAGATCGCCCAGAGCAAATAGCCCAGAGGGACAAGCTAATGCTGAGCTGATTCTAGGAGCCTTGTCTGAACTGGACAGTGATGTGAGTAGGCAGCTTATCAGATCAGAGTGGGTGCCAGAGAGGAGCAACCCCCCCCCCAACCCTAGGGTGGGTTGGCTTAGACCAACCTCCCCACAGGGAGAAGAGAGCAGTTAGTCATACCAAAGACACACCAAAACCAAACACATACTCCATTTTATTCCAAAAGCTTTTAATTGAATTTCTCAGAGTTTTTCAAAAGCAAAAAGATCCAAATTGGAGGTAAAAAGGAACATGGAAAATTCAACTCAAGTGGTGTCACAATCTTGGGGTCATGCTTCAGGTATGGCAGGACCCAAGAAGGCACAATACGTACCCTGGGCCCAGCCTAACCCTGCTGGCTACCATAATCTGTAGACTACTGCCAGTGTGCCCTACCCCCAACCTTCAAACACCAGAAGTGGAGGTCTGAGCAGGTAAACAGCAGACATGCCCTGCATTGGCCTACCTACTGGCCTTCAGTGTTATTCCACGTGTTGAAGCAGCTAAGGGAGGCTGGGGGTCACAAGGCCATGTAGCATTAGGCTGAGCCGCCGGGCTGCTTTACCAAGTGAGTTGTGTGGCTCAGCCTGCAAGAATTGGAAGAGCTTCTGGCGCACCTGGGCCATGACAGAGCCCATGTGGTCTCGAGTGATGGGGTCACTGTGGTCCAGGTGCATCACAGCTTCTTCCAAGTAGCTGGGGATGGAGGAAAAACAGGACAGGCTACTGTTGGATGCCAGCAGATGGGAGTGCCCCCTGGTGGCACTAAAGCCCAGAGGGATGGTAACAAAGGAAACCTCAGATGGGAGGGGGTGGAGAGGATAGGTAGAAAAACCAGGGAGGGCAGTTAGGTAAGAATGTGTGTCTGCCTGCTTTGAATGACTCCCTTTCTGTGTCCCCCACCTCCAGCTTATCTTCTGGTCCCTGACTGTCCCACTCACCTGAGTTTGAGGTCACTTCTAGTTCCAAGGTCAGATGCCAGCTGCTGGATGAGGGAAAGGAGTACAGGCTGGGAAAGTGGACAGGGCGGCTGCCCAAAAACCTGGGCTGGGTCCACAGTTTCACACACATACAGCACCAGGTTGAGATCAGCAGCTGTCAGTGCCTGGAAGCAGAGCAAGGCAGTAGCATTTATAACCTAATACCATTTGTACCTTACACCTCTGCTTGTTTGAGGTGTAAGACCTGGGGGAAGAGGACCAGAGTTGGATGCTATGAGTCCCAGAAGCAATGCTTAGAGACTTAGTGAAGATTGTAAAGTTATATTGTTATCTCAGAAAATCAGATCAGAAATGTTTTCCTAATAAGGGTGGTCATAAAACAAGGTGGGATGAGGTAGGAAGTGGTCCAGAATAAGGGAATAACGGGGCAATAGCTTCAAAGCCAGCCTGCCAGGCTGCCTAGAGCCTGCTGGAGGAGTAGACATATGGTGTATGAGCTTTGTCAGGAAACACTTGACTCTTACTACGGCCTAACATTGTCATCATACCTGCTGGAAGGCCTGATTGAGGTGGCCCTGCTGCAGTAACTGTAGGATATGGGCTTGCTGGGCCTGGCAGTCAAGGTGGGCAGAGGGGACAGGTGTGCCAGCAGCTGAGCGCATGGCCTGCATTATGCTGGAGGTGACCGTGGCTTGTTGCTCCTTGAGTGCCACACTCACTTCACCCTTAACAATGCGTTGTACTTGTGCTAAAATTGACTCCTGCAAGCTACAAAGGAAAGTGAATAGATGAGGTGGACAGGAAGCCTAGTCTGGCCCTTCCTAAACGTACCACCTTTCCCAGGGCTGGGCCCACACACCTGCCCACAGCCACATGCAGCTGGTGTTGCACCTCAGCTCGAACGCTGCTAGACACAGTGGCTGCCATCTGTTCAGTAGCACTCTGCAGTGTGCTGACCAGGCCCCGCAGCTGGGCTAGCACTGGCTCCCTGGCCTCCTGTTCACGTGCCTTCCGGCTCTTCATGTGACTCTCTAGCTGCTGCAAGTCTGAAGGACGACCACAGGGCTCATATAACAGATGGCAGGAGAGAGTACAACCCTTCCTACTACTTTGGGTCAAATGATCCCACTCACATTCCTGCGTTCCCAGCCGAAAGCTATCATTGATCTGCTGGAACATGGCCTGGCAACTCTTCTCAAAGGCTGGCAGCACCACACTCTGGAAGGCTTCACGGTAGGCAGTCTGCATTGGTCCCTGTAATGTGTCTGCAGCTGCTCGGGCAATGGCATCTGTCAAGTTCTGAAGTATAAGGGGCCAAGTTGAAAGCCAGAGCCCAACCTGGCCTGCCCAGCCACCTTCCCCTCATTTTGGGCCTCCTATCACCTTGGACTTGAGAAGCTTAGAGATATTCTCTTTCATGCTGCCTTCCACAGCTGTGAGCTTGGTAGCTACTGAGTTGCTCAGCTGGCCTGCCACAGGCTCTAGACTCCTGGAGACACCTAAGGCATAGGGAAGAGAAGGGATAGAACCAGGAGAGGAAATTTGCAAGTTCCCCTATTCCCACCTGACCCATTCTAAAAAAATCTCACAAAACTCACATGGAGGAACTGTCTTCTTAATTTCATCCCTTATACTGCGCTCCAGCCGCCCAGCCACAGCTGACGACAGTGCCTGGGACAGCTGCTGTGTCAGCTGCTCCTGCAGCTGCCCACCCCGCTGCTGCCCCTCAGCCAGTGCCCGCTCCAGCCGCCGTTCTGTGACATAGCTAAGAAACAGGCCTAGAGCAGGACCCACACCTAGCCTAAGATAAGAATGCTGCCCCTCCCCCAATGCCATGTTGTGTCACCACCCTCAAGGATACGCTCTTGCTCATGCCGGGTCTCCAAGGCACGCTCTACATGGCCTGTGACAGTGCTCTGCAGACCTTCAAGCTGGGCACACAGACGCTGTAGCAGCTCTTCTTGGCTGTGCCACAGCTCTACCAATTCTCTTTGCTGCTGCCAAATGAGTGCTGGCCAGTCCTCAGGGGGCTCTGCCACCTGCCAGAAACACTGACAACTTATACAATGCCTTGTCCACCCTATCTCCACCAACCAGAAAAACTCAAAGCGCAAAGTCCCTTTCCACTCTCATGAGATGGGGTCTCATGGGGAAAAAAGGTGCTCCCTCACTTACCTGATGGTCAGTGAGCCGGGATCCCACAGCCAAATCCCTGCATAGGCAACAAACATTGCAGGCCCCATCAGGCAGCTTGAAGACCACCCCTGGCCCTGGCCCCAGAACCCTCCTACCCATCATCCTTCTTGCTTTTCCTCTTGAGTTTGGGTGAGGTCCGTGGGGATCCTTTGGTCTTCCAATCCTTGGCAGGCAGCCGTGGAGTGGGAATTTTGGTGCCAAAGCCTCCTGAGGCAGAGGCAAGGCTGGCAACTTCATCATCATGGTCACTGGGGAATGGGGGTGGGAGAGTAAGTGCCCACCCACCTGCTAGCCCTTCCTTATTAGGGGAAAAACATAGAGTTAAGATAGTGCTCACCTTTGCTCAGCACTGGTATCATGACTGTCATGTTGTTGTAGCAGGTGATAAGGTGGTCGGTGGAAGGCCAAGCTTTTGTGCTTCTCCTGGAGGCCATTTCTGGGGCTAAGGAAACATGCTGACTCAGTAGTGGATAATTCAAATGCCCCTCTTATAAGCACACTTTCCCCCTTTGAAGCTTCTCACCTCTCTGTCAGAGTACTACAGGTCTCACGAGTAATGTCAGGTGCTGTAGGCCAGACCTGACTGTCAGGGGCTGCAGCCTCTTGGGTTAATGCTGCCTCTAGTAGGGAGGGGGTACTATGCCGATCTCCATCCCCAGGGCCTCCATCTAGGCCAAGCTGGGGGCCAAGCTCAGGACCTGGCCGGGGCCGTGGGGATAGGAGGTGTAGTGCTGAGGCAGCTGAGGCCATACTGTCTGGCTCAAGACCCTCAGGAGCAGAGGAGCCAAAGCCACGAGAAAGAGCCTCAGACGCGATCTCAGGAATGTCCTGGGACAGGGCAGTGGAAGCTGAGGAGATCACATCAGGAGAACGGGTGCGACTAGGGGAGGCTTGCGGTAGGCTCAGGGGCTCTACTTCCTGCAGATCCAAGGATAGTGCAGAGGCGGCAGAAGATACCTGAGATAGACCAACAATGGAGGCTTAGATGATAAAAGGTTGGGGACAAAGACATAAGGCACTGGTATCTGTAGTGATGAGAAATAGCAGAAGAGGGAAGGGAGATGCAGGGCTACAAAAACAGGACTACAATTCAGGATAGGTGAAGATGGGAGGCTGAGGAGATGCCCTATACAGAACATGAAAGGCTGCTATAACCTGTGGTGAAATATGGAGACTCTGAGACCAGGCAGAGTCAAGTAGAACGTGTATAAGATGAGAGGGCTCCAATCTTCCCCACTGCCCTCCACTGGCTACCCAGCATTATATATTCTCTCTCTCTTTCTCTCTCTCTCCCTGCCATACACACACGCCATGCCACACCACACACACACACACACACCCCTGCCCAGGCCCCTTGGGAGTCAGTTTCTCTCCACACACACACACACACACGCACGCACGCACGCACGCGCGCACGCACGCACGCACGCACGCACGCACACACACCTCCACCCCCCTGCTGGGAGTCAATTTATTTTCTCAACACACATGCACACACACCCACACCCACACACACACCCACACACACACACACCTGCCCAGGCCCCTTGGGAGTCAATTTGTCAGCTGGGCCTGAAAGCAGGCCAGGTAGGAGGCTGCGTGGGCTTGCCTGCAGGCTGCTGCTGCTGTTTATCGTCAGACTGGCATCCAGTTGCAGCTTGGGGCTCAAGGTCAGCT